AGCTGGGGTTCTCCTCTTTGCTTGTCTTTCACACTCAACCCAGTGTTGTCACCACTGAGGAATGCATGTTCCCCTCACTTTTTGTATTTGCAAGAGCACCTGAAGAGCACCAGCTCCCTTGTATAAAGTTTATTTCCCCTCCCCTCAAGTCTTCATGAAGCACTTATTTTCTGCTTTGAGGTTTCATGGAAGTGTACCTGCCCCTGTGGGCCACACTCAAGGCAGAAATGTTCTTCAGGCACCTTTCTGTCTGCTCAGCATGGCTACACCTAAAAATTGTCAGGAAACATGCATCTGGATGTAGTGTAGGTTTGTGGAGTCCTCACAGCGCCATCCCTGTAGATGGAAGGACAGCTTTGGGTAGGTGTGCTGGTGTAAGGCCAAAGTGGCTCCACAAATACCAGCATTTGTGATTTCTTTTCCTTACCAGGAGGTTCCATTGTGCTCAGAGAAGTCCCAGAGAAGTCAATACATATGGAGCTCGGGAAACACAGAAGAGAAAAAGGATAGCTAGTCTTTGGCATTGGATTAGGTCATTCCATTGAATCACATCAATGGCCCAATCTTGGGATCTTTTAATATCCTAAGAGAACAGCGTTGTAGAAGGACTGACATGCTTACACATGCTTTATATCAATTGATGAAGGCTTATATAAATGCTACGCATTCATTTTCTTGACAAGAAGGTTTACTGTTGAATTTGCTGGGAGACAAAATAATAAACCAGGATTTGCCAATAATTAATTTACTGTATTCTGTAAGATTAGAAAATCTTGACCTTAAATGACTTCTTTCTATTTACACCTGGAATTCTAAAAGGTCCTAAATCCACTTCTGGGCATAATTTACATTAGGTATAAATGGAACAGTACCTCCAGTGATTCATGGCGTGTATTTTGGTATATTATTAAGACATAGGATAAGTTACATTGTATAGAAAGTTGCAAGGAGGGAAATTCACGACATGTAAATTTTCTTCGGGGAAAATGCTGTCTAAATTTAATCCAAAATGTTTGTGTGATCATGGCCACATAGATGCTGCATTACTTAAAACAAAATCAACATAACCTTTCAGAAGGGTTGTGTGTTGATTATAATGTAATTTAAAATTGCAATATTTTGATTCTTTTTCCAAAGGATTGTAGTAGCTTCATCTCTCAATCTGGTATTCATAGTCTGAAGAGGAAAGCATACAGGTTAGAGTTCCTTATCAGAACAGCCTTGAAGAAATTATTGTATCTATTTTGAAAGGAATTTTATCTATTTCGTAGCTCTTGTAATAAGGGGCCAAACTTTGAAGCTATTTGTATTCCTAAATAGAAGAATTATCTACTATCACCTTGGTGCTAATCCCTTTCCTGCTGTAAATAAGAGTGAGACAGATTCAGCACTTGAGAGCAAGATTCCTTCAGTCAAGTGCCCACCCAGCTTTTTATTTCTAACTTCAGGCTCTTAAATTAGCTGAAAACCTAAAGAGATGTGACTGCATTGAAGACAATGAAGCCATGCACATTTCTTATGCTAGTGACAAATTTGATTCATGGGTAAAATTAAACAATGAAAAATTAAAAAATATTTTTTCCCTGCCAAACCAAAACAGGCCATAATTTTAGGGTTTTATTTCAGAAACATTTCTAAAACATTGCTCTTTTAGATAAGTCATTATAAAAGTTTATTGATTTACAAATGGATAACAAATAGATGCTTTAGTGCAAATTCTCATATCTATACATAAGATCTCTTATTTTCCAGAGAGTGACAATTCTTACTTCTGCTCATTCTAGAGTAAAGAAAAAAAAATCAAGGCATGGTTTCCTATTCATAGATTTACCATACCAAAGGCAGAAGGGTAAATTCTACTCTTAGCACTTAAAATTTAGCCCAAGACCTGTTATGCTCAAGTCTGATGTCTTTTAACAGACACAGAGCCAAAACCTACACGTGGCCAATTGCAGAACTGAGATGGGGTGCCAGATGTCCTGTCATATATTCATTGCTGATACAAGGCCTAAGCTGAAGTTAGCTGGGATTTCATTAGTATTTACCAGATACAATAAGAGTACAATCTTCCTCTGGGAGGGATTCAAACACCCTTAAGGATTTTTCAAAATTATTTTATTTTTCTGCTTTTATCAATTTGTGTAGTGCTTGTGGATCTTAATCTACATTTAGGAACTGTGCTTTATTATTCTAAGTAATTATTGGGAAGGAAACAAAATCTTTCCATCATCACTTTTCCTCCAGCTCTATTTCCTTTCAGTGTTTCATCCCTACTAAATGGATCAGCTTTCCTGAATGTCTTAAAGTCACCTAATTCAAGAGCAAACCCTGATGCCATCAGTGTGAGATCTGAGGGTATGTGTTTCAGGACAGGCAGTCATCCAACCTCAAAGAAAGCAAGCTAAGACTATTCCACTAAAAAAAAATCCCACAACAAACTGTACTCGAGTTTATTTTAATCAAAAATGAACAAACAAATAAACAAACAAACAAATGAAAA